TTTTAGCGAGAAATAATAGAAAAGAGTAATAACTGAAATAGGAAATGTCCAACTTTTTAGCCTGGATAACTTGGGTCAGCTGAAAGAGTCTAGTAAACGCTTCAAGCAGCTGGAGGACCCTCTGCTAGACCATGGCGGGGACCGCGTGAAGACGTGTCTGCCAAGACTGCTAGCGTTGCTGCATCGTGGCTTGGGGAGCAGGGTGGATATGATAGCAGTACGTCTCCAAGAAGATAAACAGGTTTGGATCAGGATCATTTACAAGCTTTGCAGACGACCAGATGGCCATTTCTATCGGTGCGGTAGCATTGTGTTTTTTAGGGGGGGGTTACTCATATTTGTCTTCATAGTTGTTCTCAAGTTCTTTGTGCTTACGCTCGAACTTGAGGTAATGTACCCAACTACGACACTGATTTCGGGGGCATTAACCCTAACACTCCTCAATCCTTCACCTGTTGGAGGACTGAGGACTGTTAGGGCTAATAGTTTGATATATTTACACAGATTAATGCTATTGCATTAGACAAGGCAGCCATGTGTCATTTTTAATTAGCATTGCGTTTTACACTTAGATGATTTAATAAGCAATGCACCCTCAGTGTTGTCTGACAGCTCACTCACATGGGACTCAAGCCGGACGTCCATACATCTTATGTAGTTCACCGCCAGGCTTTGCTGGGGTTAACAGGCCCATTCGAATCTAGTGTCACGTGACTGTTGATGAAATTTTTAAGTCAGATAGATGTAATTTCGTGTATGCCAACAATATCACCAAGCCATGCAGTCACAACAAAGTCAACCCTTTTCGCTTGAGATTGAACTTTGTATTTCTAGTGAGTCATGAATAACTACTTGAACTTTTTTTCTGCTTCCAAAGTGGAAGATTTCAGATGACCCCCCTCAACCAGAGGACATGGGTCCTTTGACCTTTGGCCTGCTTCTCAATCAAGAATTTGCCGGCAGCGTGTTGGAGAGAGGACCAGAGGCAAACACACCGGAGGTGAGTTCAGTGGAGGATGAAATTGAAAGATGATGCTGATCAGTCAGCGCATGCTGCAGAGTTCCAGCTCAGCTTGAATAACCTAGACACTAATGTACACAACCTGTTTAGCTTTATATTTAAAATTCACACAGAGCGGTTTGTAAGTAGCCGGCGCACCTGTGTATTCATTTGCAGCAGTAATTTGTATTTCCATCTGGACTTGCACCTGGGGCCAATTCCATAGAGCTGCTTAAGCACAAACTTTGCTTTAAGCGTGAGAAAACCTTGCTTGATAAATCAGGCAACCAGCCAAAACTCCATGTTATGTTTATTGTTTTGGGATCGTATTTAGCTGTCTTTTGGTTAGCATGACAATCATGTAGAGTTTGAGCTGATAACCTTTGTTTTTTAAGCAAGGTTTTTCATGCTTAAGCAAATTTTGTCCTTAAGCAGCTGTGTGAAATTGGCTCCAGCTGGACGTGCAACTCATTTTTTGCTCATGCTCAAATTGTTCTATGCACCTGTGCTATGCTATTACCTGGGATTGCAGCTGTGTCAATGCTTACACTATACCTAGCACCTTCACTTGGCACCTGCGGAAGGAACCCAGTCTGGTACCTGTGCTCATGATGGCACCTGTGCTGTATTATTACCAGGAATCACAGCTGTGTAGACACCTGTGGTACATGTACACCAAACGTTGCACCTTCACTGGCACCTGCAAAAGGAACCCAGGCTGGCACCCACATTTTATGGTCATGATGGCACCTGTGCTCACACTTGTATTAAAACATGTGCTGAACAACTGTCACGCCTCTCACCAGTCACCTGCGCCTGTAGTTTGCACCTTGGCCAGCACCCACTCTGGTGTAATTGGTTATATCACACGCATGTGCCAGGACATGCATCTGGGCATATCTGGTCATTTTGACTGAGATAATGTGAATTTGTTAGTTACAAATGTTAGTTAATGGGATACTTAAACAAAGCCTACCCAGCGGTGTGCAAAGTATTCACAGAAAGCTTGCTTTTTTAAATTAAGAATGAAACCATCTACCAATGAAGTGTCAGCTTGCTTGATGTCTGTCATTGTAAATGTGCACCCTTGTCCTGGGACTGAATTTTCATTTTTTTTTACTTTATTGGTTAGGCTGGGTTTCCACATTTGGGAAATGCCTGGCTGCTTTGCGTTCATTCCTCTGTTTAATTTTGTCCACCAGGCAGAGGAATTTCAGAAATTTTGGGGTGAAGGCTCTGAGCTGCGTCGATTCCAGGACGGTTCCATCTGCGAGGCCGTGGTTTGGCCAGGTCAGACGGCTGCTGAGAAGCGGCTCATCTGCAGTCACATCATCAAACACCTCTGCAAAATGTCAGTAGCCAAAAATGCAATCAACATACGGACTGACACTGATAGTTGAATTATCAACTCTTTAAAGTTGAAATTGTAAACTTGTGAAAGGGGATTTTGCTTGGGCTGTGATAAGTATGTTATTAGATAAACTTACAAGTGGCAGATACGCATAACAGACAATCCCTTCAGAGTTTGGAGTGCTGGGGAAATTCAGATTTGCAAAAAGCAGTGCAATGTTGAATATTGTCATGAAATAGAGTGTTGAGTTATGTGATTTTATACCCAAAATGTGTCGGATCTTGGACAGCACACGGATCAATATATGGAATTGAAAAAAAAGTTGAGAAAGTCGTTCCCAGATTTCTTTTTTATTAACTTTTTTCACAAAGATCCAATTTGCGTTTGAGACAAGAATTTCAAGTAGGAGTGAATCTGTATCATTCTCCAGATGTTGTCAATTTTCCCACAGTCATGCAGGAATTTCACCGGACACGTTAACCTACGTTGGTGACCAACTGGACCCCATCCTCCACCAACCTGTCAAGGGCACACCACAGCCCACACCGGACAGCAAACCCCAGGACCCATCCCAGGATCCCCACCCTGGCACAGGAGAGGAGGAGAACATGACTTTGGTCCAGGCCTACAACGAGGTCTGCAAGGATCTCAGGGGGCTGAAGGGCTTCCCACTGGTCATGACGTCAGTGCAGGGAATCTCCCCTGTGCTGAGGTACACCGAGGTAAGTCCAAGCCAAGTTGGTTCATCAGGCTAATGTTTATTTCTGGTTTCCTGGACATGAAGGATTTAAAATATTTGTCTTTCCTTTGGATGAAATTAAAAAGTCATTTTGGGGGCGGGGCTGGGGGGGGGTGTTTTCGACTTTCTCTCAGCCTCGGGTTCCTTCCGAGTCTTATCTGCCCCATGACCAATCTTATTGAAACTTGGCATGTTTGTATAGACGTCCATCTTAGGTTCAATTCAAGCCGACAAAGGGTTTTGTCGCGTTCATTTAAAGTTTATCCATTTTTGTGTGCTGACCCGTGCACTGGGTGTGTGTCAGTGAAAAAATTGATATTCTGGGGGCTTACCCGTCATGACAAAATGGACATGAGGATGGACATGAGAATGGTGTGTCTAATTTGCCTGAAATTGGTGTC